GAAGAGGACCTGAACCAGAGCCAGGAAAACATTGGGGAAAATATTTTGAGGCAGGCGGGGGGCGGGGGGAGGGGGAGCGAGAAGGGGGGAGCTCACCCCAGAAAGTTAACTTTGCAGGTACTGCCGTCGGCTCTGATTGGTCTTAATTGAGCCTTCTCCATGCTGTGGTCTACAGGCCAGCCTCATTCTTAGGATGGAACGTGGAGGATTTGGGAGAGTTGGGGTTTGGGCAAAAGGAGTTGGGTTGGCTGCGGTAGAAAGTTTTTTTTTTGGGGGGGGTGCGGCCTAAGGAACTTGAGAGAGGAGCATGGGCTGAAGCTGTAAGTGCTGGGTGTATGTTCACAGATCACCGAAGCGTCCTCTGTCTAAAGGATCTCTGCAGGGAACCCTACTTCTCCATCTCCAGATTCTGGAGACTGAGCCCACCTTCACGACGCTCTCTTTAAGGCTTCCTGCGCCCTCTGCAGGTCGTCCTCGCACATGGCACTCGCATGTGCGCAGTCGAGTTGATTGAACTGGAGAATTTAAGGACATTTGACAGGTTCCCTTCCAGGCCCAGTTAAAAGCCCAGGGGGGGAGCTGCGTGAGCCCAAAGAAACAGAAGGGTACACCAGGGGAGATTGATAGTCCCTCAAGAGAGTGCCTGTCTCTTTGGATTTGTGTGGCCTTGGTGACTGGACACCAGGGAGAGGGCAGCCAGTTACGTTTCTCACCTGGGAGAGAAGCTAATGCATGGTGGAGAGAGCAGTTTCTTCCTATCTCTCGTGCCCAAGCCACCTTCTCGCGCCTGCAAGGCAAGTGTGATTAAAAAGCCAACAAGCACGGTGAAGGTAGGGACAGGTCTGAGACTTTACAATTGTGGGGATGGGAACAGATAAGGAGCCAACCTGCCACTCCACATGACTGACAGGTTCATTCCATAGACGGTACAAGGGACTGGTCGTCTGGGTAGGCCGGTGACCACAGAGAAAGACAGAACTGTGTATGTCATGTGACCCACCTTCTGTAGCTGGACAGTTATGGAACCTCTTGGTTTCAAGACCACTCTACGGCCTTCTGAATTCTGTTGGAAGGGAATTGTTCCCGTGTTTTGGAGTCAGGCTCTTACTCTGTAGCTCTTGCTGACCTAGGACTCTGCCTCAACTTCCCAAGTGCTGGGATAACAAGCACAAACCAGCACCCCCAGTGTCCTGGCTGCTTTTATGTGTCAACTTGATAGAAGTTGGAGTCCACAGAGAGGAAGGGGCCTCAGGTGATATCCAGCTGTAAGGCATTTTCTCAATTAGTGATGGATGGGGAGGACCCAGCCCATGGTGGGTGGTGCCATCTCTGGGCTGGTGGTCCTGGGTTCTATAAGAAAGCAGGCTGAGCAAACCAGTAACAGGACCCCTCAGTGGCCTCTGCATCAGCCTCTAGGATCCTGCCCTGTTTGAGTTCCTGTCCTTCAGTGATAAACAGCAATGCTGAAGGGTAAGCCAGGTTAACCCTTTCCTCCCAACTTGCTTTATGGTTGTGGTGTGTCTTGTCACAGCAAAGGAAACCCTAAGACATCCAGTTTCCTCCAGACTTATTTTTAAAATTATTTTATTTAATTTATTTGTTTGTTTTGTTTTTCGAGACAGGGTTTCTCTGTGTAGCCCTGGCTGTCCTGGAACTCACTCTGTAGACCAGGTTGGCCTAAAAGTCACTGAGATCCACCTGCCTCTGCCTCCCAAGTGCTGGGATTAAAGGTGTGTGCCACCACCACCCGGCTTATTTAATTTTTTATATTAGTTTTTAATGTTTACTTATTTAAGTGTGTATGAGTGTTTTGCCTGCCTGCATATTTGTGTACTGCATTTCTGGTGCCTGGGGAGGTCAGCAAGAATGTCAGGTCCTCTGCATCTGGAGTTAAGAAAGGTGGTGAGGGGCCAAGTGGGTGCTGGAAATTGAATTCAGGTCCTGTGGAAGAAGTCAGTACTCTTAATCGCTGAACAATTGCTCCAGTCCGATGATTGATTGATTTTGAGACAGAGTTCTTCCATATTAGCCTTGGCTCTTTCTATGTAGACCTGGCCTTGAACTCACAGAGAAACTCTATATCAAAAAAAAAAAAGTCTGTGCTACCATGCACAGGTTTCTACCTTATTTTTTTTTAATTTTTACTTATTTTGCATCTTCCTTTATTTTGTGTATCTGTATTGCATCTTCCTTTATTTTGTGTATCTGTAGCAGAGGGTGCACTTGAGAGCTGTTTTAGTCACTGTTTACTGTTATGAAGAGACACCATGACCAATGCAACTCTTATAAGAGAAAGCATTTAATTAGGGCTGGCTTATAGTTTCAGAGGTTATCATCATGGCAGGGAGCCTGGGGCCAGGCGTAGTGCTAGAGAAGTAGCTGAGAGCTACATCCTGATCCTCTGGCAGAGAGACACTTTGCTTAGCATGGGCTTTTGAAAACTGAAAGCTCACTGGTGAAGCCTTTAATCCCAGCACTCAGGAGCAGAGGCAGAAGGATCTCTGTGAGTTTGTAGGCTAGCCTGTTCTACTGAGAGAGTTCCAGAACAGCTTCCAAAGCTACAAAGAACCCCTGTCTTGAAGAACCAAAAAAAAAAAAAGAAAGAAAGAAAGAAAGAAAGAAAGAAAGAAAGAAAACTCAAAGTCTACTGTTAGTGACACCCTTCCTCCAACAGGGCCCCACACCTCCTTAATCCTTTTAATCCTTTCAAATAGTGCCACTCCCTGGTGACAAAGCATCCAGCTATGAGTCTGAGGGAACCATTCTTTTTTTTTTTTAATTTATTTATTAGTTCTAGTTAGGGAACAAGCTTGTTTCACATGTAAGTCCCTTCTCTCTCTCTCTCCCCCCCCCCCCCCCCCCCCTCCCCCACCCCCC